AAATCTAGTTTAGCTGGACCTTGAATGGTAGACTTAGTATAATCCTTTGGTGGTCCCATTCTCAAAGCTTTTCCAAACTGATGTAAGTTCTTATAGATGTTGTTCTCCATTTCAACAGACATCATGAACCTAGGGTCATCTCCATGGATGAAGCATCAGAAGAGGATTGAAGTGAAGGTTCATAACAACCACAGTACAGTGGAAAGAGCACTGACTCTGGAGAGCTGGGTTCAAATCCTGACTCTGGTGCTTACTGCCTGAGTGACCTTAGGTAAGTCATTTAACTTCCTGTACTTTTCTTATTGTGAAAAGAATGGGTTAAATTAGATGCCCTCTGAAGAGCCTTCTAGCTCCAGGCCTGAGATCCTATGATCTAATATTAATTCAATTGTTTTCACTAAAAGTGAATTCTATAAGCTAAGATTAACCAATCATCAAGCTAAGATAGAGCAGTGTAATTATTGTCTTATTAAAAACTTATACTGTAAGTAAAGCAGTTAAATATCACAGTGGATAGAGCATTGATTAGATCTGGAGTCAGGAAATCTTGTGTTCAAATCCAGACTCAGACACAAATTACCTAATCCTGCTTATTATTTACATTATTTTTATTTATAATGTTATTTAAATATTAATTACTTACTAATTACCCAATCACTTAACCTCTCTACAGTTGTTGGGATGATGTCTGTAAAGCACTTAGCCCAGTGCCTGGCACATAGTAGGTGACTAATAAGTACGCTTCACTTAACAAGTGCTGGTTCTCCCCTAGGTGCTGGATGGGCCCAAGATTATAGGACTGGTAAGAAAGCCAGAGTTGACCCTGGGTTTCCTGAATTAAGCCCAATATTCCTTCCACTGTGCCATATTTCTGACACAAAAGTTAGAAGTAAATATTCACCCTATTGTCGCGGTAATCTTTGGATATAAGAAACATATGATGCCTACAATTGTTTCTCAGCCTACACAGACATGATTAATTTTCTAAACTAACAATTTTAGAAGACAACTTGAGATACCTTTTTATGCCAAAGGTAGGACACATTTTGCTTTTATATGACTGCATGTATTATATGCACATAATAGCATAACAATTTTAAAAAGTGAAATTTTGAAATTATGAAAAATAGAAAATATTGAGTTTCATATTGCTCCTCAGAGAATAAAGCAATCAGGAAAGACAGAACAGGCATAAATGCAAGCATGCCCACCTCTGAGAAACCTCACTGCAGGTTAAATCTTAATGCCATCCCAGGGGACTTTATGAATTCTTTGGCTGAATCAAAAAATTTAAAGAAATATTATCCCCATTAGCTGGGAATGTGATGCAGAGGATTTATTAGTAATGGTTCTTGAATACTAAAGCCTCTTACATTTGGAACACTAACTCTAAATCTTAAATTCAAGTCATTTTTCACTTTCAAAGTTACTTTCAAAAAGATGTGAGGGGGAAGTAGAGTTGAGAATAATACATGGTATCTCAAAAGTCTTAGAGCAGTTTTAAGCTTTAATCACTTAAAACTGCACTAAGAGCTTTGGGTCACCTTGCGTGTATGTATGGGTCAACAGCCTCAGGACAGCCACAGGAATCAAGGCCAACAGGCTCTTGCCCACCCTTCAGTATTGAAAAGTGCCTCCTTGAGGGGGCTTTAAGGTCATTTACATGACATTGTTGCTAGCTGCTACAGGCACAATGGGAGTTGAAAGGAATTTGCTCACCCTAACCTAAATATCAAGCTAACCAATAGTGAATCCCTGCTTGGATTGGGAGCAGGGGGAATGACAGGAGTGTCTGATGGAAAAAAGAAATCTTGACCTGATGAGCTCTTTTCCGTAGCAGCAAAATGCCACTGTGAGTCCAACAACAACAACAATTCAAAAGTGAATTGTGTTTTGGCCAGACAGTCTTACAAAGACTGACAGCATCCCTTCCAAAGACCCAGGAACTGAAGACAACTCCAGAGATGGGAGCAGCTCAGGAAAAGAGGAAGCCCAATTATCAGATGATAGCATTCCAGAGGCAGCTAGCTGTGCTGTCAGAGGCAGCTGGGGAGATGGAATGGAATTGCAATAAAGCCCAGCTGGAAGATAGAGCCATGAGAGCTCCTGCAGCCTCTGTGCATCCCCAAGATCGTGAACTATTCCAGGGAGCTTCCTGCTCCTACCAGGGATTAGAGATTCTGAGGGAGACTGCCTCCCTTTAAGGATGGCAGGATGTTCCCCTCATATTTTTTTTTCTACTTTTCCTAACTAAAAGACATTGTATGTGATATATGGGTCCTGATCTGTTGGTAGAGAATGTACCAAATGTGAGCTTGAGCCCTGTTTGTATAACCTTGATTGACCAAAACACCCACACTGAACCTGGAGGGAGGGAGGGATCCCAGCTATTTCTCTGTAACTTTCCTACTTGGCTACTTCTCCACTGAAATGCTTCAGTCATCTGCAGTTTGGGCTGCTTCTTCCCTGTGGGCTTCCTCATCTTCACTTCACTTAAATGTTTCATAGTTACTTGACTAATATATTTTGTTATTCTGTATCTTTTAAAATAAATCTCTTATCTTTGTGTAAACAGAAGTGTGGTTCTTCTATTGGGTTTTAAGTTTTCTAACCCTGAAGCTGCCCAGGTCTAATCTGCTTTATTAACCAAAGAAACAAACAAAATCGCATTCATTTCTTAGCAACAATGAGAGGTAAAACTCCATCAGACTGGAAAAAGGAATAGAACGCCCCTTTAAGGAAGTGACCCCCAAACCATAACCAACAGCACGAACATCAGTAATATGATCAACAAAGGTGATAAGGATATATTGCCCATTCTTTTTCTGTATCAATGGAGATTGTGAACATGATGCACTCTAATACCGTTTCCTGAAGGACACCAATCATGTTGGACTTTTTTTTTTACTGATGCCCAGATTGAAATTAGTATCACCATCTATGTTTGGATGTCACTTTATAGCTTCAAAATGCTTTCATGTAATTCATGTCACTCAATCTTCACAACACTACACATAGTAAGTGTTGTTATTCCCCTTACACATGACAACAACCAAGGCTCAGAGAAACTAAATTATATTCCTAACATCATTCAAACAGGGATTCAACCACAGATTTTTGGACTCCAAAGCTAATGTTCATTCCCTGCATCCTACTGCTTTTCCCAAAGTCTTTCACTAGACTTCGGTTGGAAGGGGAAGGATAAATAAGTGGAGATTTCTGATCTGGAGACTGATTTGGCATATCATCAAGATGCAGATTTGGACATTATTTAGCCAAGAAGAAATAGGGTTAAGGACTAGGGAATGTATTCTTGGGCAGCACAGTCAGAAAGAAAAAGAAATCACAGTCCCCCTCCTGTTCGTATTCCCTTGTGATGCCCTTTCTATTCCTCTCTGCTTTCAGAAAGGAAAGAAGGAAGGAAATAAGTATTTATTTACCATCTACTAAGTGCCAGGCACTGTGCGAATTAAGCGCTTCATGATAAATATGATCCCGTATGATCCTCACAACAACCCTGGGAAGTAGGTGCCATTATCACACTCATTTTACAGATGAGGAAACTGAGGCAGATAGAGGTTAAGTGATATGCCCAGGGTCACACAACTAATAACTGTCAGAGGTTGGATGTGAGCTCAGGGCTTCCTGAGGACCATGGTTCTATGTACTGCACCACCTAGCTGCCTCTACCAAAAAATAAAGTTACACCATAACCTAAGCAGAACTAAAAGTAAGTATAAAAGAAGTTTATTGGTTCTATGAGTTTTAAGGGCATATGATCTTCTAACAATGTCCAGGTCTTTATTCCACGGGTATATAACAGTAACAGGAAAAGGATAATCTAGAGTAGGAATCTTTAACCTAGGGCTGATGAACTTATTTGTTTGTAATATATTAATATTTTGATATTATTGATATATTGGTACTTTTATATGATTAGCTTCCTTTGTAATCCTATGTATTTGGTTTTATGCATTTAAAAATATTGTTTTGAAAAGGGTTCTATGGTCTTCACCAGACTGCCCAAGGGGTCCACAACACATAAAAGGTTAAGAGCCCTTGGTCTAGAGCTATTGTTACACCTTCCCCAAAATGTCCATTTGTAGTATGGATATTTAGAAAAGAACTCCTCCCTTCCCACCCACCCACTCACCCCCCCCAAAAAAATATAAATACAACATCAGACTGTTAAATTTGAAAGGAGGAAGCAAGAAGAAATGGGATAGGATTATTGTGGATCAATTTAAAACAAAAGAGGAAAAACACTCAATTACAATTCATGGGTCAGAAAATCTCAGCGGTCATCTGGTCCAACCAAACCTGAATAGAAATTTCATACACAAAATCCCTGATAAGCAATTGCCCAGCCCACAACCATAATTAGGAAAGGGAGACTAGAGCTTTTCCCCAGAGTGATGAAATTTAGAGGGTGATGAAAGCACCATTCATTCTAGAACAGACTTGCTCCCTCCAGTAGAGCAGAAAGGTACTAAGTCACACCAAATGCTAGTCCTTCAGCAGCACAGAATACCAGAGCTCACCCAGGACACACTGGGTGTTTCTCTGCCCAGAAATAGCACCTCAGATTAACTCCTTCCTTTACACCAGGTGCAAAAATCCTTAATAATGGCTCTAACACAGCCTCTTCTTGAAGGCCACCAGTGATGGCAAACTTCTTCCTTCCCAAGGTAGTCCCTTCTACTTCGGAATAACATTAATGGTCAGGAAGTCTATCTGAATATTGAAAGAAATATGTCTCTGCAACTTTCAGCCATTGCTGACAGAACTGCTCTCTTGAGCCACATAGAATGAGTTGAACCCCCTTTTACAGGCTAGCCTTTCAAATCCTTGAAGAAAGCTGTCATGTCCCCTTAAGTCTTCTATTCTCCAAACATTTTCAGTGCAGCAGCCCTGGAAGGGTGGAAGAAAAATCCAAGAATGCAGATAGCAGATCATTAGGGAATGGGAGAAAATTTAAAACTAAACAACCTTATACTCACATGGTGAAGGAGCCAGGGGGAGCAGAAACTCTCCTCAGGTCAGTGGTTTGCACCTTATGGATACTAGAGGCAGCAGGGAATGAGCAGCGAAGACAGAGTCAGCACAACAGCGTGGACAGACAAGGAACAAGCCAGGAGAGAGAGAAAAAGACACACAAAATTTAAACAGAAATTAAATGAGTGTCTCACCAAAAGGTGAACGAAAAGAAAATGAAAATAATGCCAAGCATGGAAGGCATCCAAGAAGCAAGTGACAGAGATAAAGCCAGCAAAACAAATGGAAGGGGCTGTCTCCAAGGCCCATGAGCATCTGAGCACTGGGAGAATTAATGGTGATGGGTCAAATGAAAGGGATGGTACCATGAAACCATCCATGGTAGGATGAAGGTGAGTTCTGGGAGAAAAATATAGTTACCACTTCTTCCTCTTAGGGTTTCCGGGACACCAATAGAGGGATAAATACATTATACACTGGTTGGTTTGTATGGTCAGTACCCCAAATCCTAAGAGAGTCTCTGGGGTGGCAAGGCATGATCTAGATGAAGGTTGCCCTTGGACACAGCCCCCTTAAATTCTTGGATCATACAAGAGCAGGTAATCTTCCAAGCCCAGCCAAGGCTGTCCATTGATGCAGCAAAAATACCTTAAATGTCCTTAAGTCCATATAGAAATCATTACCACAATTTCAGAGCAAACACCAGACAAATCTAGTCATTCCCATACTTATATGTCAAATACTTCAAGGGACAGACTATTTTCATAAGATCAAACATAAGGAGATTACAGAGACCATGGATGTCATCTGGTCCAACCCCTTCACTTTACAGAAGAGGAATATTATACCCAGAAAAGGTAAGGTACTTTCTTCTTGAATAGAAGTGCTCTGAGAGGAAGACTTGGGTTCAAATCCTGTCTCTGACACATAGTCTGTGTGTCCCTGGCCAAGTAACTTATCATCCCAGGGCTCTGGACTACTCTCTGATACTATTAACTGCAGAGAAGGTACTGAGTTGCATTGGTAGAAGGAATTTCCTCACCTGGGAATTCTCTATACCAATGAAATCACAGTCCCTATTCCTCTCCCTAATGTAAGTCTTCTTGAAGGAACTGGAGAAAGAGGAGGAGGAGAAGGTGGTAGTGGAGGTGGAGACAGAAAGGAGAAAGCCAGAGAGAGGAGAAAGGGAGACAGAGGTAGAGACAGACAGAGATATAGACACAGAGAGACAGAAAGATATGGGATGTGAGGTCCAAAGTCCAGAGAAAACATCTCTCTCTTCATCACAACTGTCTACTCTGCTCTACTCCTAAAAATCACTTCAGCTGGTCCTAGACAAATAATCCTATAGACATTGCCCTACCTAATTTCTACAACTACTCGGCTTGATAAGGACCCTAATGGCTTTCCTAATTTATCTGAAATCTTAAATTATCTTGGACAGTAGTTTAGCTATTCCAAAATGGAAATTTTGGGGAAAAAATAACATTTCACGTTTATACAGTGCTTTAAAGTTTGCAAAGTCCTTTACTATATTATCTCATTTGTCCCTCAGAAAAGTCCAGTGAGACAAGAATGACACGGATTGTTATTATTCCCATTTTATAGTGAAGGAAACTGAATTTAGGTTGAGACTTTGACTGAGACTTGAAGTGATTCTGACCTAGGTCTAATTCTTGGTTAAGTGTAAGATCTGAAATATTTTTTGAGTTCAGGAATAACTGCTACATTCATGTAGCATTTTTTAAAGTTTGCAAAGTGCTTTACACATATTATATAATAATCTGATCCTCAAAATGATCATGTGAGGTAGGTGCTAATATTAGTCCCAGTTTTACAGAAAAGGAAACTAAGGCTGAGGGAGGTTAAATGACACATCTAGGGTCACAAACCTTTAATGTCTGAGGCAGGATTTAAACCCCTCTCTGGATCCAAGATGCCTCATCTGTAAAATGAGAGAGTTGAACTAAATGAACTCTCAGATCCCTTCCAAATCTAAATCTATAATTCTCTGATCAGGTCTTCACAACTCCAAATCTGGCATTCTACCATCCTCTCTCATCCCTGACCCAATTCGTACTCTCTATGGGTCAGGGAGAAGGGAGTTAAGGGAGAGGGAGATGAAAAGGGTAAAAGGGAGAAAAAGGAATAGGGAGAAGGAAAAGGAGAGAGGGAGATGGGGAATAGGAAAAAGAGAGTTATAGGGAGGGGAAGAAGGGGAAAGATATGGGGGGAGAGAAAAATAAGGACTACAGAGAATCCCAATGTGTTATGTCCTTGGGCTTTGTGGTCTGCCATTCCTACAGCAGGCCAGGTTTAAATCCATCTCACATCTCTCTGTCCTTGGCCATTAGAAAAAGGCTGCCTATTCCAAGTAATAGCATTTTGTGTACCCAAGGAGGATGGAAACCAGGTGCTCAGTTCAAAGTCCTTATTTACAAACCATGCCACAGGATAATAGAAACAATCAGTCTTTGGAAAGAGTGAGTGTGGAAGAAGGAGAAGTCAGCACTCCTTGTTCTCCTTCCTAGTGATTGTTCTACAATTGATTACAAGTTGGCTCAAGATTACAAAAAGGATGTTTGTACTACAAAGTAGACTGAGTCCTTATGGCTTCCTATCTCCTTACTAGCTGCCTTTCAGAGAAAGCTCTGTAATCATTACTTATCCAGCCATCATATTAATGGTACAGGAAAGACAGCCTGGACAACGCTCTTCTTTCACTTTTATGTGATAGGTATTTGTGACAGCTGGACAAAGAAGAACTCCATGTGCTGGGATAATGTGCAGTATAGCACTGTACATGTATCCATTAAAGTAGACAGTACACATCTGCACAGTTTGCAAATGGACAGGACTATGCAGAAGTCGGAAAGTAGTTGGTTTCTTTCTACCAAGAACACTGAATGTCATCAAGACCCAAAAAGATGTCAAAATGCTGCAACAAGATGCTGAATCTAAGTTATTCCGATTCTTTGATGGACATCAACATGGGAATTCCCTCCATTAGTACAGATCTAAATCTCTCTGTGCCTTATAAAGACAAATAGATATAAAGCCCCACGCATGGTTTCAAAAACCAACTACTTAAGTACAAAATGAGAGACCTGGCTTAAAGACATGAAAGAAACTAAAGGGTGGTGTGAGCTCAGTACCAGGCAACAATGTGATATCACTGCCCAAAAGTAATGTATCATATTATTTGCAGTTATGATTTTTAAGACAATGCTTATAACAAGGGAGATGACAGGCTCCATACAATCTGTGTCGGCCAAACTATATCTGAAACACTGTACATACTTTTGGGCACATTTTAAGGATGTTGACAAACTAGTGATACATGTTTCAGAGAGACAGTCAAAATGTTAGAGGAATTCGAAATCACACCACGCAGGATAATTTAAGGGCAGGAAGGTATTTCAGGGAGGTAAAAAGAATGTATTGGTCAATTGCATTGCCATGTTCCAGTACTAGAAGGGCTATCTTCCAAAAGAGAGAAGAGGCTTTCTCCATAGATCCAGGGGGCTAATCTCGGATTAATGAGTTAAAGTTTTACAGAGCCAGGTTTTGGAAGTTTAAGGAAGAGTTTTCTAACAATTAAAGACATCCCAAAATTGAATGGAACACTTTTTGTGTCAGTGACCTTTTCTATCACTAGAAGGGCTCAAGCAAGAGGTTTCTGCACAGGATAGATATTCAACTAGATGTCTTCTAGAGTTCCTGACAACTCTATGATGCTATGATTCAATAATCCTTTTCTGTTGTTATTAACTTTCCTCAGCAACCTCATCTCATTCTGAGGTTTGTGCCTTCAGAATCACATTCTTGAACTCTTACCATTGCTATTGGATGACTTCCACTGAAGAATTTTAGTCCATGAAATCCTATGATTCTCCTCAACTCTCTGAAATCTGCTATCTCTAAAGCTAAGGTGAAGATAAAACTGTGCCTGGCTTTCTTCTTCTGACACAAACTCAAAGAGAGTCATTTCTTCTCCTGCCCTTCCCCCTCCTCTATCCCACCTAGTACTCATCTTTCCATGCCAGGAAATAGTTTGTGTGTTGGTAAGAATGAGATTCAGAAAAGAATTCTCCATGAGGTTCCTCTATCTTATCAAAGATGAAATTATCTTTAAAGCAAGTTTAAAAAATAGCTTCTTGGCTTTTGGCTCCAGTTGAAATCTAGATAACTGAACTCCCCCCTCACTATTATATCACACCTCTGTCCTCAGCTTCTGATGGATTTCTCAATATATTTTGCGATATATTTCTCATCTACTTTGCCCATGCAGCCAATTACATTCCAATGCCAAAACTTCTGCCCCAATGGATCTTCATCCAAATTCTCTCCATCATGTTTCACTCTTCTGGTTTCTGGATTTCCTCATATAAGCATATCTTCTTCAGTATATCTTCATAATATATAATGCTAATAAATGTTTGTTGGATTATTGAATTGAATACCAGAGTTGTCCTGAGAGGGATATGACTCAAAAATAAGGATTTAAAGTGAGTTAGAGAAAAGAATTCTAATTAGTTGGTGGATAAAACCAGGAGTGGATTAAGCAATGAGTGAGAATAGTAAAATATATAGCATCTTTTAAAGATAGTCTTTAGCAATAACGTCTGTTTAGTTATTTTAGTAAAGAATTTTATTTCATTTAATTTTTGAAAGCAAAATCATACTATAAATCTCCATCTGATACAAAACATGGCTATGACACAAAATTATTTTTCCACTCATTTGGCTTATGATGGGAACACCACTATGAAATGTTAGCAGGTTACTCTAACTTCAGACCCAGTTCCTTTGAATTCAGTTTTATGAGGGCTAAATTTACAATCTGAGCAGAGATTCTTAATCTTTTTTTGTCATGGACATCTTTGGCTATCTAGTGGCATCCTTCTCAGAATAACGTACTTTAAATAATTAAAGGCAATGCCATATTTCAGGTAGAGGTTAGTAAAAATGAAGTAATAATTTTCCACCCATGTTAACAGAGGCCCTGAAATATAATTACTTTCCCCTGGGAACTTCACGAATTCTACGTTATGAACTTCCCTAAAGTTACAGCAATATCATATTTACTATCAGTAAGAATAGAGGACAGTTCATTAATTTCCACTTCCTGGTAATGGTTTATATAGTTAAAGAAAACTGGAGAAGAAGAACTGTGGATGAGAAAGCACACCAGATTTAATCAGAGAATCTAAGTTTAAATTTTAGCTCTTCTACCAGGCATTTGTGTTTGACCTCGGCAAAGTAACCTGACTTTGCTAGATATCAGGTTCTTGTTCCATAAACTAAATATGTTGATATTAAAATCCCTTACACTTTTATCCCTATTTATTCTATTCTCCTATGAATTCTTCAATCCAATCCAATCCAACAATCATTTATTAGGTGCCTACCATGTGCAAGGCACTGTGCTAGGGTTCTGGGGATACAAAGACAAAACAAAAAAAATAGCACAATATTGAGTATTATATAATGCAAATTATATCTCAGATAATGGGCAGGCTATACTGGTTATTTAGAAAGAGTTTCCTGATTGTAAAGGTTACTAAGATGTGAAACAATTTGTGAGATAGGCAGTGATCCTTCTACCTAGGAATCTTTTTTCCCCTAAAGAACAACACTATATTTCATTATCATGCTCAGCTGTCTGTCAATTATACATATGATTGCCCCTGAGCAAGGTGACTCATTCATTCCAATATTGTCCTTAAACCAGTCATTACTTCTCCCAACTGATACTGCTGGGGAGAAGTGAGCACCAGATATGGTTTACGAATAGAAGGGGGAAGTAATTGGAACTAAGTATCTATATTTCCCATAACAAAAGGACAAAGGCAGAAAGAATACTAAATAACCTCTCCAAATAGGACCATCTTACATGGGATGAGTGCCAGGGAATTTAGGAGGAGTTCTGAGAAGAGAGGAAACAGAGCGTTAAGGGAGAACCCCCCCACACACCTCATTTTCATAAGTACTGACAGAGGACACACACTCATTTCCATTCCAAGAATACTCAGTTCTAACAATGAACTCAGCCTGACAGCATAATAAAATATGTGCCATGACAGAGAGATGGGTTAAATGGATCTCTTTTGATAATTAGCTTTGTTTGACTTCAGTTTCCAGATTTTTCAGGATGACATTAAGGTAGGTGTACTCACAGAGATGTTCTAGGCTAGGAGAGAAATGCCTTTATGTAAACTCAGAGCAAGCAGATTTTCTCTTTGCTAAGGCATTGATGACTACTATTAAAATCAAATGTTAGCTGGAACAAGCACTACATTATTAGCCACAAAACTTTCTTTCAGTTCTTTTTTTCCCCCTTCAGATCAGCAATTCAGTCAACTGGCATAGCCTCAAGGGTACCAAGTATATGATGGACAAATTTTGATACCGGGGTAAAAGGGGTCAGGAATAGTTTTAAACATGAGGCAGCATCATCAAGGGAAGCCTTGCTGGGTCATAAAATTGGGAAGCATGAGGAAACTGTATGCCTAGAAAGGGCAGGGGTGGGAACATAGTGAAAGACAGGAGAAGATTGTACAAAACAGACAATGAACTTTTCTGCTTCATGATTTTGCCTGGACCAGTTCTGGATAAGACTATCTGTCTCTAAAGAATCCAAGACTAGTAAAAACTAAGGGCATCTCTTTGGTGAGATGGGTAGAGATTCACCTACACTGTTTCCTTAAGGATAAATAAATTGAAATTACTCTGCCCCCAAACCAAACACACTTGAACACCAAGCGAAAACACCTACCATGCACAAGATAGTACTTTGTACAAAAAAGGGGTAGAGGACACTGCACAATAAAACACAAGCTGTAAAGCAAGGAACCACTGGGGCCCCTGGGATTTTCTCTTCTTCTTACACATACACATACGAGGAGGCCACCAGTCAGTCCATGCACATGCTACGAATTTTCCTTTCTCTAAGCTCTGTCTCACAGAAGGAATTTAAAACAAGATTATGACTCACTCATTAAGTAAAGGCATGGACGTTCTCCTCTTGCTCTTCTGCACCATGTTGGCCTGATTTCTCAGGGATATCCGAATCAGAGCAGGGGCCAACTTACAGGGCTCTCCATCCACTTGCATAGGGATGGATTTGTATGTTAGTAGCATTACCTCCCGGCACTGATGAAGTCTTTCTCCATGGCCTCCAACTTGCAGGGCAGCCTAAAGAAGGAAAAGAATTGAAAGGAAGGTGGAAATGCCATCCATGTCTTATCAGTCACTCAGAACAGCTGAATCTCAAAGTCCATTATTAGCCAAAATTACTTAACCAAAATTTAGACAAAATATGTTGGAATTTGGTGTCCCCAGTGCATGTACATCAACTTTACAAATAAGCTGTTCTTGAGTCTTGTACTTACTAGCCCATGTGACCTTAAACTACTTGCTTATCCTTCCTGGGCTTCAGTTTCCTCCTCTGTAAAAAGAAGGGCTTGGACCAGATAATGTCTGAGATGCCTCCCAATTCTAACTTTCTATAACTCTAGGTTAAAACAAATCTGCCAACTCACAAATATATTTATAGGATTGCTTATAATTCCTCCTGTCCACTTTTCAGTCCCTCCTATTTTCTAACTTTGTACCACTGGGCTAGATCAGAACAAGGACTTGACCATGAATACAAATTCCCATCAAAAATCAATGGAAAGTGAATATAGAAGAGATCAAAGAAATGAAGGAAATAACATAAATCCAGTTCTAAATTATTTTTATCTAAGTAATAAAATTTTAACTCAAAAATCCACCAGATGACATAAATGGCCAATTTTTAACCATTGATTGACCCTTGCTTTTCACTCGGACACACCCTGACTGTTTACCCCTCACCAGTTAGTGAGTACTGATGGAGCGACAATGTCAAAATCAGCCTATGCCAAAAAATAGCCAGGATAGGAAAGCTATTTCATGGACATGGACATTACCTGGTACTGGAAAAATCAGTAAAATAACCTCAACAGTCCAGTTAACTGAGGGTTTGTTTTAAAGGCTTTTATCTTCTAAACTTTCTGAAAATTTTTTAAAACCCCATTAGTCTACTTTCCTTCCTGAGTCATCACAATATAGTGAACACAACAGGACTTTCTTGGGTGACAGTGAATACTGCAATAGCAGTATAGTAGAGAAAAGCAAGAGAATATCTATGACGTTAGCCAATGAGTGAATCATCCTACTGCCTTCACTTTCTAGTATGAGACAAAACTTAGAGAGAGAAAAACTGAAGAGCATGCGCATGGACTAGGGGCTTTACTCTATATACATACATATACTAATATTAGGAGCACCATTTGTTATTTTGCAGTACTTTCAGATGCATGAAGTTGTCCTGGATTTGCACTGAATATAGGGAACATCTGGAAAACATTCTTATCTGTGTGTGCATCTATAAAAACACATCCCTGATATCAGCTTGTTTTCTTTTTACTCTCCTTTTACTCTTAAAAACTAAGTACCAGAAAAATAATCCAGTTAACTGGGTTTCTGACTATACGAGTTGGGCTTCTCCATAAATTAGAATTGTCCTTGCCACAACCCCCCTCCCGTTATCACAGACAATTGAATAATGACTATATTTTGATGCAAAGGATAAGGAATAGAATATAAAATGAAAAAAATAAAAATATGAAAGTTAAAGAAAGTAAGGCCTGAGAATAATGGTAGAAATCCAGTTTTGAGGAGAACTGCAATAATTCTTAGCTATTCAGACCACCTGACATGTAATTCCTTACTTATATCTTTCTGGGTCTATTCAAATTACCTATTGTAGTTTCCATTTAATTTTATGCAATGAACTCCTTCCTTTTAAGACCTGTCATACAGAAGGCACTAAAGTAGATGCTGGGTATACAATGATTAAAAAATACCATAGTCCATTCTGTCAAGGAGTTTCCCTTCCATTATAGGAGTAGGGGGAATTTGACATATATTCAGAAGAATAATACAAGATAGTGAATTACAGGAGAAATCCAGAGTATTCTAGGAACATTTGATGAATGAAGACACTTTCAGATGGGTGAACCAGCAAAAACTTCAAAAACGAAGTGGTGGCTAGACATAGTCAGGAAGAGCTGAGTTTGACTACAGCTCCATACACCAGATGTGTAACTCTTAAAAAGTCGCCCACTCTCTCCCTCCCTGATTTTCCTCATCAGAAACATGAGGCTAATAATACCACCTACCTCATAGAGATGTCATAAGGATCAAATGAAATAAGACATGTAAAGCATTTTCCAAACACTAAAATGTTATATAAGTAACTTTTATTAGTTTTAATAAGCCTTGAATGAAGATAAGGTTCTTAAAGGCAGAAATTAGCAAGGAGTACATTCCCAGAAGAGAGGATGGCCTGTGAGAATGTATAGAGGGAGACAGAAGAGGAGACAGAATGCTAAATTTGGGCACAGCTAGTAGTCCAGCTTGAATGTACTTTGGTGTATATGAAAAGCGAATCAATTCTGGAAAGGGAGGTTGAAGCCAATGTGTGGCTTTCATTACCAATTCCTATAAGTAAGAAGAAGTCATTGAAAATGTTCATTCAAGGGACTGATATGGTCAGACTTATTCCTTATGAAGATTATTCTGACAGTTGTATGTAGGCAGCATGGATTAGTGGACAGAATGCTGGATGTAGGACGGCCTCATTTTAAATCCTTCTTCAGATAAGTATTGTATGGCCTGAAGAAGTCACCTAACATTTTCAGTCTCAGTTTCCTTATGTATAAAATGAGGGAAATGGGCTTGATAACTTCTAAAGCCCCCACCAGTTCTAAATTTATGATCTTAGTAGCTCATTAGTAGAGAGGGAGAGAAAATGGAGTCAGGGAACATGGTTAGACCCTATTGTGATAGTCCAGGTGAGAGTTTTAAAAATTAGGGGCCTGAAATAGGATGGTGATGGTATGAACGGAGAGAAGGGAATGGATATGACTGATGTTAAAATTACTTTCCTTTGTTCAATCCACTCCTTTTGATTGAAATCTGCATCCTAATCTCCAATCTCCATCTATCAAAATCCTAGTCATCTTCAAAAGCCAAAATCAAATACAACCTCCTTCATGAGGCCATTTCCTACTAGCCTGGCCAAAAGTAATGTTTCTCTCCTCTAAATTCTTTTTAGACAGATAGACAGATTGATTGATCAATAGATCGATCTGAACTGGTGGTATCAATGTATGAGCATGTATAGATAGCTATATCTATACCTATACATATGTATAGAGTTGAAACCAGAGTCCATGCACATGCTCTAAGTTCTTTTTTCTCAAAGTTCTGTCTCGTACTAGAAAGTGAAGGTAGGAGTATGATTCATTCATTGACCAAAGTAACAGACGTTCTCCTCTTGCTGTTCTATACCATACTGACCTGACTGCTCAGGGATATTCAAATCAGAACAAGTGCCAACCCACAGGAATCTCTATCCACTTGTATAGAGATATATTTGTATGTTAGAAGCATGGAGAACACTTTCTATCCTTAAGACCACCAACTTCCTCAAACCTAGATATAAAAAAATATACATATTACATATAATACATCTATGTACACATGTATGTATATGTGTATGTGTATACATACACATGTATATGTGTATATGTATATATAGAGACACACATATACAAAATATATGTATATCAATAGAAGGTAAATATGATATAGACACACACATGTATATGTGTGTATATGTCTGTGCATATATCTATAGTTATATTTACTGCTTTCTACTTTATACACATGTGTTTTGTTTCTTCTAGAGAGTATGCTCTCAGAGCATAGGTATGAAGTATTCAATCAATGAATATTTATTAAGCACCAACTATATGCTGGGCACTCTGCTAAGCCCCTAAATATTAATGCCTCTTTGGATTTCCCTTTGGATTCAAGATGGGCCAAGAGACAGCAACGCATCAATTTTGTTCACCAGGAAAAAAAAAAACATTGAACAGAAGAAAAATGTAACGGGCTATTGTCTCAATTCATTAGTGCCCTCCTCATACATAAAAACTGGTTCAATGCAGCTAGGCAGGCAACTGATTTTATTATATTTCCTTTGTAGTCTTGAATAAACCCAAAGAATTTGCAAAAAAATCAACACACTTTAACTCAAAGACTGTAAGTTGTCTAAGTCTCTGGTTCTAGGTTGATTCAGAAGGTATTTTTAAAAATTACATCTAACCTCTTGGTGTTTAAATGAATGAAGCAAATGTATAATGAGTTCAAGAAACTATTAAGCCATTTCATCAGCCACTGAAATAGAACAGCATGTAATTATTCAAGCACACATGAGACGCAATAGAGGGAACTAAAAAACAAAACAAAAACCCTCTGCCCATTAGTCCAGGTGATCCCACAGAACTGGCAAGAATATTTCTCTGTATATACTTATCTAGTACAATTTGCTTTTCAGAGAAAAGATATCTCTATCACTGTGTTAGTATTTTAATTATTGTGTTTTATTGCTCAGATCTGTCTTAACACTTAGCAAGGGCGTTAATAGCCAGGAATCTCATAATCATCTGTATAATTATTATCATAGGATGCAAGAGTATTTTGAGCTAAAAGGATTGTAGAATCATAAAAATAAAGCTAGAAGGGCTTGGGAAGTCATTTGGTCCATATTTCTCATTTTACAAATTTGGAAACTGAAGCTCAGAAAAATGAAGTGATTTACCCAAGGTCATATAGGTAGTAAGTAGCACAGCTAGGGTTCAAGTCCAGGTTCTCTGATGCCATATCCAGTGTTCTTTCCACTACCCATCCTTGCCTGTTGCTATTTAATATTAACAATAATGCAAGTGAGAGGCATCATGGTATGTTAGAAAACATGGTGGACTTGAGATTCTGGAGACCTGGGATTTGACCCTACGTTCTAGCCTGCCAAGATACATTTTTGAATCCTGATTGTCGACCATTATTTTAATGATTCTTCCCAGTTCTGTCATCTAAAAATATAATAAGGATGCTATCTCTCCTTTTATATTAATCAATGATAGTTCAATCACCTCATTTGAAAGATGAGGAAACTAAGACCCAGAAAGAGAGGCTAGGACTTGCCTGGTGTCTGACAGGTAGTAAACAGTGGAGCTAGAATTCAAAGCCAAGGCCTTCTGATTTCAATTTCAGCTCTCTTTCTACCATACCATGTGCCATAATACTGTGAGTTTAGAATG